CTGGGGGAGGGGCTGGAGCTGGGGGAGGGCCCGGGCTGCGGATGAGACTCGGAGGGGTTGGAGAAACGGGATGGGGGACACAGAGCTCAGGCCCGGGCTGAGACGCTGGACCGGGGGCGGGGGGGCCCTCAGGGCGCTTGGAGGAGGGAGGGGGGCTGCGGGAACCGCGTTTTCGGATAGGAATGGGTCTCCGATTTGGGGCGGCCGGGAAGAAAGCCAGGGCCGGGAGGTCCCAGGACTCACCTAGGAGGCCCTCCTCCGTCCTCTCAAGCCGCCTCCCCTTCCCTCCGGCAAGGAGAATTCCGAGAGTGACGTTGGGAACTCACCTGGCGCTAGACTAAGATCCGGAGGCCCCTAAGAAAGCAGTTAAAACATTGCGCAAAGATGCCTTCCTAGGGAGAAGGTCCACAATTTTCATCTGATTCTCAAAATGAAGAGTTTAAGAATCCAAAAGGTCTAGACTTTCTGAACCTCAGAATTTTAGCTGCCAGTTTGTACTATATACTCGAAGTGAAAATTTTTAGGTTCCACCCACCACTTTATTACCTTTAAGAACAGACACCACCAGTGACCCTTAGGGTGGGGATCAAGTCTGAGCTGTTTGTTGGACCTGAAACTTAGTTATTCCACTCAGCAAACTCCTACAAAACCCAGTTCTAAAAGCCCCTCCTCAGGGCACCTGGGTGGCTCAGTTGGTTGGGCATCTGCCTTCTGCTCAGGTCATGTTCTGGGGGTCCTGGGATTGAGCCCCCCATTGAGCTCCCTGCTCAGCAGGTAGCCTGCCTCTCCCTCTCCCTTTGCCCCTCCCCTTCCTCATGCACTCTCTCTCTCTCTCAAATAAATACAATCTTAAAAAGTTTTTTTTAATTTTTTTTTAAAGATTTTATTTATTTGACAGAGAGAGACACAGCGAGAGAGAGAACACAAGCAGGGGGAGTAGGAGAGGGAGAAGCAGGCTTCCTGCAGAGCAGGGAGCCTGATGTGGGGCTCGATCCCAGGACCCTGGGATCGTGACCTGAGCCCAAGGCAGACGCTTAGCGACTGAGCCACCCAGGCGCCCCTTTTTAAATTTTTTTTTAAAAAGCCCCTCCCCACTCCCAAATTGTTAGTTTACCCTATTGAATTCCCAAAGCTGTGTCGATCATGTCTCCATCACAGCACTTCTGGAATGTAATAAATAAATAGTAAAAATAATTTGAGCTAATATTTATTCAATGCTTTTATGCCAGGCTTGCTGCTAACGGTGTCATACACATTATTTCATTCAATAACTAAAAACCCTATGAGGGAGATACTCATAATCTCCCAATGTGGGTGCCAGGAGACAGACCTGGACTCCAACACTCCTGAGCTGGGGAGAGGGACTCCCGGGGTCGGGGAGCGGAGGAAAGGAGCATTCTGTTTGGCTACGGGAGGCTTGAGGGTTCAGTACAAAGGAGCAGATCAGAAAAGGGGAGGGAAGGGCAAGCAGAGGAAACAGCTCAGGCAAAGGCCAGGAGACAAGAGGGTGTGGAAAATGCAGGAATTGAATGAGGCTGGAGCTTTGGGGGAGCAGAGAAAGGGAGAAAGGGAAAGAGGGAGTCTGGCCAGGTAAGCAGAGGCCAGGAACCCTCGGGAGGCTCCCCCTACATGGTAGGGTTCCCAGGAAGGAGAATCACTCCAGAGGCTGCGCTGTGGGGGTTAGAACTGGGTCTGGGAGCAGCCAGGGATGGGGTTTCTGGGGGAGGGTGGGCCAGGAAAGGAACCCCAGGACCAACCGGAACAGCAGCGACAGGTGGGATTCTAGTGGGGGAGGACCCAGGGGCTGTCATGGATGAGCCAGCTTCTGGGCACACTTCTGTCACCCCTTCCCAGGCTCCTTTGCCGGGGCGCACCCTGGTCTACTCTTCAGCTAACAGGCGTGTCTCACGTGGGCACGGGGATAGGCACCACGGCCCCCAGAAACAGCCCAGAACATATGCAGAAGGTGGGGAGGAGCAGTCCCCCCCCAGGAAGGCAGTGTGGCTGAAGTGTCGTCGATGGCTAAGCCCACAGGAAATCTGGTGGATCAGGCAGTGGTTCAGTTCTAGAATTCTCACCATCTGCTCTCTGGAAGCAGTAGACAAGGAATCCACAGGGTTTGGTGAGCCAGAGCTGAATGGAAATTCTCAATGACAGCAAAGAGCAAGTGCACCTTGTCATTGTGTCCCCTCCCCCCCACTACTGCCACGCCATCCTGCCTTCCAGTGGCACTCCTGCCTGGATCTTTCTGTGACCTCTACTGTCACTTCATTACATCACACTGTCCTGAAGGGGCACCTAGGTTCTCACCTGCCCCCCCAGCATCCCAGCGACACTGTGGACACTGTTGTAAGGGCAGAGCACGTCACAGTCTCCCTGTCAATAGTGCAGAATCCCCAAGTCCCTATTACAAGGTCACCTGCCACCCACTGCTGTCACCCTCTCATTGTCACCCATCGACGGAACACTGTGCTGTTTTCTGTTTACTCTGCTGCCTGTCACATCCGTGTTGTCATCTTTACACCTTCACCTTGTTGCTGTGACAATTGTCACCACCTAACGATTGTACCAGCACCCAGAGTGCCAGGGTTTTGAAACTGCAAGAGACAGAAATCATCCTCCACAGAAAGGGCCCTTGGTTGCACAGAGATCCCCCCGCAGAGGAGGCTGCAGCCAGCAAAATGACTCCCCAGTTGCCCACAGATCTGGTCCCACAGAGACACCTTCCATTCCCCCTCTATTCCCCAGGGCTCAGATGATGCTCAATGATCCCAGACGCCGGAAATCAGGGCCACCCTTGGCAAAACGGAGTCCGGGGGGATCCCACCTCTTCCAACACCAGCATCTGTCAAATTTGGGGGCAGGGGTGCCTGGGGGGAGGGGTGTGGAGAGGTGTGTCCCTACCATGCTGTGAGGGGGCCAGGAAGATGGGATCCGGTGTCTAGAGGTCCTGTCATGGGCTCTGTCTCGCGGGGGGTGCATTTCCCAGACCCAGGGAAAAGTCACTTGAGTCACCTGATGGCCAAGTCCTGTACGCTGTGTGCTCCTAACGTTATCAGCCCCGTTCCTGTCACACCTCCCGACATCTTCCTGCTGTCCATCACCATCAGAGACTGTCTTAACGTTGTCATCTCTCACAGCCATACTGCCTCCCCACTGCTGCCTGTCATTTTCACACACTGTCTCATTGTCCTTTACCCCCGGATCCCAGCCTCCCTACCAACAGCACACCAATCCCCAGGGGGGCTCTTCTATTACAATGTCATCTGTCACTGTCAGCCTGTCTCCTCTTGGCCACCTGTTGTCACGCTGTCTGTCCTTCACTCCCAGCTCCTATTAATTGTCACCTGTCCCTGTTACCCTGAGCACCCCACACCGCTGTCCCCTGTTGAGGTCATGATGGAATGTCTGAGTCATTCCAGCTCCACTCTTTCTTCCCACACGGACCCCACCCCACCCCCATGATTTTGTGTGCAGTCCTGAAGTCCCCTCCTGCAGACATGACACCAGTGTGTGTGTCCTGGGCTAGGAGACCCGCCCCCATGTCCATTAGCCCGGGCCCTGAGGAAGGGATGGAGACAGGGCGGGCAGAGCATGCCCAAGAGCACAGGGCCAGGACTGGGGACAAGCACACATGCCCGGGGGTGCCTGCAGTCTGTGCTATGTGGGGAGCTGCGCCTGCCCAGGCCGGGTGGCCTGGGGACAGAGCTCTCTTTGTCTGAGCACAGGAAGCAGCTGAGCCAGGGAGGATGGAGCACATGGGAGGGGAGTTTGGCCAGATGCCTGGGAATGAGACTGGGGCGTGGTGGGTCCTGGAGGTCCAGGGGAAGGCCCAGAGGAGGTCAGATGCAAGCCAGGAGGAGCAGAGAGAGCAGCTGGACCCTGAGGGCTTCCCCATCCGGTTCTCTGGACGTGACAAGACCCCCCAGTTCATGGAGTGCTCACTGTGTGCCGGGCTGGACCCTCAGAACAGACTCCCGAGGCGGCTTTGCTATCTTTCCCATTGCACAGGTGGGGAAACTGAGGCACAGAGCCCCCAAGTCCCTCACCCCAGCCCCCCAGCCAGTAAAGAACACAGACGGATTTGAACTCAGGCCACAAAGCACCATACCTCAGTCTGCCGGGCAAGGGGAGGTAGCAGAGTCCCGTGTCTCCGATATATATACATCTATTCTTTTTTCTCTAACAATAAACAAATGTTAGCACCTATATACATTGTTCCGTCCTTGATTTTTTCCTCTTTGTAAAAACTTATTTTACTTATAAACTCAATAAGTTAGCTTTTTTTTTTTTTTACTGGTTTTATTTAAAAATTAAGGTACAATTCACATAACATACAATTAACCATTTTGGGGGCTCCTGGCCAGCTCGGTCAGTGGAGCATGCAACTCTTGATATCGAGAATTCGAGCCCCACTTTGGGTGTAGAGATGACTTAAAAATAGAATCGTAGGGCGCCTG